CAAAAAAAAAATTTCGAGTGCATCCTGGTTGAATCGCCGTGCCAAGAAAAATTGGAGTCCTGATTTACGAAGTGATGTGGACAATTTATCTAATGAAATTTTTTAATGCAAAAATTTAATTTTTTAGTGTAGGTGGAATTACTTTTACAGAATTTTTGTCCACAAAATACATGTTTTCCAGTGAACTTATAGATTTTCTCCAAAATTTCTCATGTCCAGTTTTTGCTGATACTGCCGCTTTCAATGGCTTGCCTTCCTTATTAAAAGTATTTGATCCATTTAAAGAATCAAATTATCAAAAAATTTTTGATATTGGTCGTTTCTTCACCATTCTTCTCCATCACTCTTCGCCCATCCAAACTCATTTCACCTGGGATTTAACGTAATTAATTAAATAACTATATTTCTTTGATTACCTAATACTTACTATTACGTGCCATTATCGCAATTGTGGCTACCATTGTATGGCTTAGAACTTGTGTGCAACTGAAATTTTCATTTTTTTCAGCTTATCTGGCAAAACATGTTGGTCTGTAACTTTTCTCAATGTCCGCAGATGGCCACTGGCAGCATCAATTTTATATGCAGATATAATATGCGCCTACTGAGCGGTATATTTTATCGGATTTTCCTCCCACATCAAGTTTTTGTTTAGGAGATTGTTTCTTATCCCTTTAATCAGGTGGAGTGGGTCAAACAAGGGGATAATAACGTCTCCATTTATGTTTATTACCTTTTCTGCATTCTTTCCAATTAAATGGTTAACACCTGCCTGGTTATTGCTGCCCCAATCACCTGCGTAATCAAATTCGCGATTTTAATACTTTCTGCAGGTCCACCAGGCAATATGTATACCACGGGTTGTATCCATTTTCTTGCAACTCCTTGTAGTTGGAACACGAGAGCATATTCGTCGAATTTATTTGATTTCAACTCAGGCGCGGATCCAGACCCATATTGAGGGGGGGGCCATACAAAATATATACAGAAACATTCAATTAATAAACATAGGAAAAATCTTATCAAAACAATCTTTATTAAGAAACCATAGGTAATATAATTTGTATTCTTGCTTCATACAATAAATAAAATAGAATTCCTAAAACATAAGAAACTATGGAAAAACCTATGGCCCTAAGTATAGTACCACATCAATACCATATCTACAAAGTACATAAACCAATACTAAAATGTACATAGGTACTTTTTAGTATTGGTATATACATAGATAATACTTAGATAATATACTTACTTACATAGATTATCTGATTATAGATGTTAGCCGTTAGGTACATACGTGTATTACAAATAAATTTAATTACCTAGTGTAATTTAAAGGACAAATTCTATTCTCCGCTTCTTTTTGTTTGCAAATCGTTTAATTACATTGGTAATTTCAATGTCATCACAAACAGATCGGTGAATGTGCATCAAAGCCAATCCATTTAAACGATCTTCAGACATTCTGGATCTAATCCAAGTTTTTAATCGCCGTAGAGTCGAAAAACACTTTCCGAACTAGCAACGCTTATGGGCAGAGTACAAAGAATTTTTAAAAATGTGTAAATTACAGGGAATATGGATTCATCGCACTGTTGTAATGCTTCCAAACCGTCGGCAGGTATTTTAAGTAAGTCTTTATTTGCAGAATTTGAGTAAGCGGTCCATTTCAACTTCCAAATATCAAATTCACCTTTAAATTTGTCAAAAACTGTCTTTGGATCCTCTACAAAAATAAGTGTATACATATCTGACAACATTTTTCCGGTCGTCTTAATTTCTGTTTCAGTTGCTTCCATTGCATTTAATGGCAAACAAATATTTAAGTTAAATAGATTTATTGTTTCCTTTGAAAATCTACTTTCCAGATCGTTAATAACACAATCCAGCAGTGGGATAAATAGGGAAATTCGGTAATAGTCTTCCGGAGAATTTGAGGATAAGTTAGGGTTAGGATTGGAACGATTTCTCATTTTGTTCGTAAGTCTAGGTAGAGTTAATTCAACATCAAGTTCTTTCAATATATTTTGAGTTTCCGTCAATATAGAAAGAGTACAAGATATCATTTCATTAGCACGATTTTTCTCTACTTTTTTGTCTTGCAGCAAATTACTTAAAGGTAATGTAAGTGATAAAACGTTTGATAAACAATACAACGTTAAAATAAAATCGGGAGTTGTTAAAGATATCATGAGGTTCTTTGCTTTCGACGCTGTGTCCCTTTCATTCCACAAAGATATTTTCTCTAGGGCATCCAATATTGCATCAAAATCATTTTTGAACTGCAAAATACATTCGTGCCGCTCGACCCATCTTGTTTCACATAGTCCATGTAAATGTTTATCAAGCGTGTTCTTTAAAACAAAATGCCTTTTTGACGAAGCGGTGAAAAATGCCGATACTTCTTTGATCGTTCCCATCAAATTTCTTACCGATTGTACGTTAGAAGTTTTCGACAGGGCAAGATTCAGTGCATGATTATAACACGGACATCTAACTGCTACTGGCATTCCTTTCTTCACTTCTTGCACTGCACCATTCTGTTCAGAAGTCATAACACTGCAGCCATCCGTACATATTCCAACACAATTATTCAGATTTAAGTCTAATAATTTAAGTTGTTTTAAAACAGTTTGCCCCAATATCTTTCCGCTTAAAATAGGTTCTAAGGTATCTTTATCTAGAGTATAGTTTTCTTCATGACAGTCAAGGAACGCAATGAAGTCTTCTCGAATGTCGTTTTCGTGAACATACCTTATCACAATTGACATTTGAGAAACGTGGGACACATCTGTGGTTTCGTCGAACATAACGCTAAAGTATTTGGCGTTTTTTATCTGATTTACAATCTTTGCAATTATTTCTTCACCTATACAGTTTACTAATTCATTTTGGGTTGTTTTGCTTATATACATATGTTGCTCTTGATGACATTGTTTCTAAATGTTTCCTTAAAATGTCATCGCCCGATTCGACACGAAATCGTAATAACTCCCGAAAATTTCCCTCATTAATACTTCCACTTTCCTGGTCTCCCACATCGTTCAGTTTCATTAACATGCCATCATCACGGTGTCCTCTAAATGCAATATTTTGCTTTCCGAGGAAAATAATAGATTTTATAATAGGAACTAGCCTAGCTTGATTTTCTTTCACTTGCGCGGCTCTACCTTGGTCAATTATATTTCTAACGTCAAGGGAGGGATTTTCAAAACATTTCAACAAATTTTCAGCAACTATCATTGCGGCCATGTGATATTTATTTTTGTTGTGGACATCTAAACACCCATCAGCCCCTAAAAGTTTGGAAAAGTTTGTAACTAGTTGACGAACTAATCCTTGTTTATCTTTATTATCTTCAGATTTGCAAAAAAGAACGCAATATTTACAAAAAAATCCCTTTTTTAGATCTGAATAAGCAATCCACTCATATCGATTAATATGTTTTAAACTTAGGTAACGTTTTACGCGTACATTGTTTTTATTGTGTTCACTGTAAGGAAGTTTATATTCCGGTGGGGGAACCCATGTCTTTTTTAAATAATTATAAATTTGTACCTCACTTAAATTATTATTTCCGACAGCAAAACCAATATCATTAACGCCAAGGTGAGTAAAATTTCCATCAGGTTGAGGAGGTTCAGGTTCAAAAATTGTTTTTTGAGATGAATTTGGATCGTCTAAATTTGAATTAGTGGTGCTGGTACTGCTGGTGCCGGTGCTGGTGCCGGTGCTGGTGCTAGTGCTGGGGATGGTGCTCGTGCTCGCACTCATACTCGTAACTGGTGAGCATGCGACACGTTTAAAAAAAGATGTAATAGTGGTGTTTTTTCTCATCATGTTTATTGTTATTGTTACGCCAAGTTAACCCTGTTAATAATTAAGTAAAGTATTAAGCTTATGCTCAAACTTATATAGGTATTATAACGTAAACATACACAACGGCAACGTAAACACTAAGCTTTGTTCTAACCACGACTGTACCGTGGTTCACACATGCGCGTTATGAATGCTGAATTTCGATCGATCGCTATTGGTTGATAAGCCATAACTCTATTAGAGTCTACTACGGGCGGTGGCAACGGCTACAGCACGGTGCAGTCACGAATATAGCCGAACACCAAGCGCGAAATTTGAATTGATGCATCTCTGTGCGATCTCATTTTACTAAAGTGGAGTGATCGGTGAAGCTGAAAACGAACAGTTTATGTCGTTTTGTGATGTTCTAGAGGGGGGGGGCATGGCCCCCATGGCCCCCCTGTATCCGCGCATGAGCGACGTTAAAAAGCGTTCTCTGTCGTCCCTAAATACCTTGGCAAATTCCTTAGATCTTTCATGAAGATCTTTAGAACGATCAACACAATTCTCAAAACCTTCAGGTACAGTTCTGTTCAGATATAATGCGAAAAGAGCCGCTCGTAAAGGCATAAAATTGTACTAGAAACGACCTACGTTCACGAGGCATTCAATCCAGGTTTTACCTGCTCTGTAGTGTTGTAAAAGTTCCGAACAGGCAAGCGGGGTAATGTGATTTATGGCCAAGATGACTGAATCACAAAGAAAAATTAAGAAAATAAATAGGTATAAGCAATCCATTTACTTTACACAATTCCTGTAGTAAATGAAAATAATTACTAATAAGTACTGTATTACTTTGGTAATAAAATGGAACGATAAGTCGAACCTCAAAAGAAATGAAAAGTATATATTGATAATAAGTTATATATAAACTATATATTGAAATATATCGCAAACCATTTTAATATAATAAAATCAAACAATCATAAATCAATATAACAAAATATAGTACTCCTATATATAACAAAAAATATAATACATTATACATATAAAATATAATAAATATTATAATAATCTAATTGTGGTAAGTCTAATAAGGTCCATTATAACATCAAATATTATTAGTATTTTGTATAATACCCATTATTCTCTATGCAACATTCCAATCTGGTGGACATCGAATTAACTAATTTTTCGCATACATCCTTGCCGCGAAACAATTCCCACACAACTGTAATGCTGCGGCGCAGACTCTCCACGTTGCGAATCGGAAAGTTGGCATTTTTATGGAACTGTTTTTCCACCAAAGCCCATAGATTTTCGATTGGGTTAAGATCCGGTGACCGCGCTGGCCAGGGTATTCGCCTAACCTCATTATGGTCGTCAAACCACTCCTGAACAATTCTTGAAGAATGAACGGGCGAATTGTCTTGTACTATCGTGATGATCCCTTCTGGATACCAGGTTCTTACTGATGGTATCAAAACATCCTCCAGCACTCGAATATATTCAATCGAATTAAATCTTCCTTGAATTTCGGTCAGTTTTCCCGGGCCATGAATGCTCATCCATCCCCAATAACCCAAGGAAATGCGTCCAGTTCTTGTATTAGATTGAACATGATTAGCATCATACCGACTTCTATCTCTTCGCCATAGTAATTTTTTATGGTCGTCCGACGAACAGAAGGTTTTCTCGTCTGTGAAGATGACTGATTCCCAATTATATTCAAGGTATTCACGGGCAAATCGTAACCGTGTTGTAGCCAATTGCTCCGTAATTAGGGGTTTTTTTACAGCTACCCGGTTATGAATGCCTTCTGCATGCAATGCTCTCCGGATGGTAAGATTAGAACATTCCAGGCCTTGATTCTCCTTGATAATTGGGGACGTTGTAAATGGATTGGCCGTGACATATTCAGCAATTCCCCTTCGCTGAGCATTATTAAGAATAAGTCTTCGGCCTGATCTAGAAGTTGTAAGGCCAACTTCCCCGTTTTCTTCAAATCTTCCAATCCACCGATATACTTGACTCACCTATAGTAAGAATGCATCTATGTAATAATTATTAAATACGAATGTTTTTATCAGTAAAAAATTGCACATGCCCTCGGAAAATTGAACTGAAAAGATTACCGTATAGGTTCGATTATCAGCCCCGTCCGATTCTAAGACGAACCCCATTTTCATGAACGATTGTTATAATAAAAAGGTAGGTATTTTTTAAATTAAGACACGATTTTTACATAACTTAACGAAAATATACAGAAAATATAATATGTATTTATTAACAAATTTCTCGAAATATTGTATGGGGCATTTTAAGACTCAGCCTACTGAAAGGAAGTGAATTTAAAAACGAAAACGACAAACTTCAAAAAATGCCCAGACATATTTGAAAATCGAGCGTATACGGTAATTGATAGAACTTACTGATAAGCCTACACGTTCGGCAATTTCCCGTTTATTTATTCCTTCTTGATGAAGTGCAACAATTGCTCCCCTCGTAGTCAAACCTGACTCTCGTTGACCAAGAACACGAGGCATGTCGTATTAAACAAAACAGACAAATTTCAACTAAACAAATTTCTGTCATCTGGACATAAAATCACTTTGCACACCCCCAAGAATTTTTATGACTGCCATAAATTACAAAAAAAATTCTAAGACAGAAAGAATTTTTAAGAAAGAAATTTTTGTCTTTAAAAAGGAAAAAGCCTTATTTTTAAAATAACATAAGAGATATACTTATGTTTGAAATAAATACACGTAATTTTGATATTGAATAATTCCATTTCAAATTTGAAGGAGAGTTTCATGAAGTTTTATTTATAAGTTATTAATTATATTACTGAGATTTTTATCTGACGTTTTATTTATAGAAATACTTTAAAATCATTTATTAGAGGAACATATAAAAAATCGTGTATTTGTTGTGCTTAAAAATATCAAAAAAGATTTAAAATAAAATACAATTAACACATTTAAAAAAAGGGTGATCCATTTTTCGGCCCACTCCAAACTGGGACGGTTTTACCTGGATTTTACTCTCTTCCTTTAGTCTCAGAAATCGAGTTGAATAGAAACAAAAGATGTCTCTGTCTTCTTCCAGTACCAGCGTCATGTCGGAGCTAACAGCGGCCGATTCGCATTAATTCTGAACAGAGCTGTACATACAGTCCGATTTTATCCTTAGGTCAATTTTAAATTGAATATATCTATGATCTGAACACGACTGTTCAGAGGATAGCCTCCAGGAGGTTATCTTTGAGCTTAATATGATTGAGCTGAACGTAATGTCAACTACCTCTGCTCTATTTCTAGTAACAAAGGTTGGTTTGGAGCCTACATTATTAACAGTAAGCCCCTCCCCTAATAGGTAGTCAAAAAACAACTCACCTCTTTCATTTGTGTTGGTGCTTGCCCACATTGCGTGGTGAGCATTGGCGTCCCATCTGCGTGTTAACTCGAGAGCTACACGCTGAGCCATCACGCCCCTTATTCTTATCCTAACAAACACATTTTAAAATTGAACACAAAACTTTATTTGGAAACAGAAATAAAAAACGCAATGTTAAACCTTTTATAAAAGTACTGGAATATTCAGTAAGAGAATATGAATAACTTCGGAAATTAAACAATTAAAATTCATTACTTGTGATTACTAGCTGATCCCAGCGTGCCATTAGCCAACCTTCTAAGTTCTGGTAGTGTTTCATTTATACATTGGGCAATACTTTCTAGTATGAGCACAATCACTGTCTGCATAACAATACGGACACTTCAACGCTATCAAAACCGGACATGAAACTTTACCTGTGGAATCTTTCAACGAATGACTTTCATAAAATTCTCGCCCCTCTGAATTTCTTCGACAAAACGTACAAGTTCTTGTTGATATGGCTTTTGACCACCCGTTTACGGTAGAATTGTTTCCATTGAGAAAATTATCCCACTTATGATTATCTTCCTGTTTGGCGATAGGTTGTCTTAAAAATGCCTCTTTCATTTTT